ACATAAACTAGTTTTGCTCCCCAAAGTGACAAAAGTCCTCACCAGAAGGATGATCGTGGCCGTGCATCGGAACAAAGCACTCGAGTCAGCATGGGGGGAAATTCTTTCATGATGGAAGGTATTCTTTTTCAAGGCAGAGAATTTTACAACTCTTTTATGGGCATCAGCAAAATGGTTAACTGCGGTATGCTAATGAGAATGCCTGTGCACATGCTCACGTGTTCACGCTCTCACTTTTTTCCTGTTGTTTTGTATTTGGGGCTGAGACCTTTTCTCAGCTCTTCTTTAGGGGGATGCCTTTCCATTACGTGCACGATTTTCAGCTAGCTTCTGTAATTAGCCTGCACTGCTATTCTGTTCTGCAAAGGTCCAGAGAGAGCAGGTGGGAATTGCCCACCATTGTGAAAGTGTTCTTTTGCACACAGACTAATTTTTTCAGTCGTATTGTCTGTTGTCAGGAATTGGGTGTTCTGCAGCTAGTGCCATTGCAGATTTACGGGGGACAATCAGGAGAGCTATGCAGCGTGTGGTGATAAAAAGTCATTTTATTTTCTTAGGAATAATTATTTAGCTCTATTTTTGTCATGGTCTGTTGCAGTCTTAGAAATTTCTCTTTGTTCAGCCAATTTGTCCCTTTCAGGTTTCTAAAATCAAATTTAGGAAGACGAAATTGTAGTGGGAGGGTAACCAGTGCTCTTTTTCTCCACTGGTCTTGACTATATTTTTGAATAAAAGAAAATTAAACAGTTGCCATTCCGAGAATGGGTGGGATAAGATACTGTCCATCACAAGTCTTTATTCTCTGTTTAAAACCATAAACTCCAAAGAGCTTATTCAGGGTTTTCTCCCTGGTGCCTAAAACAGGCTCAGTGAATAGTAGTTGCTCAGTAAAATTTGTCGAATAAACTTATGAATGAATAAATATCCTTCTTAAGTCTTCGAAGCATTTCTTCTACCATCTCTAATTTCTAACTCTTAAAAAATTATCTTGAATTCCATAAACGTCAACTCCTTTTTGAAATCAATTTTTAACTTCTCTGACTCTTTTTCTTCCTTTGAATCTTCAGGGTTTTTTTTTCTCTACCTTATGTTCTTTTCTCCCTGAATGTTCTTGTGGATTTCTTCAGCCCAGCCCTTTTCACCAGGTTATCTCCCAGTTAAAATATTATACTGTACTAAAAATGCTACATAGCCACCTTAGTACTACTAGTTTGCTTATTTTTCAGTATTGCAAAGATCATTTGTAAGCTTTTCTGCTTATATTTTTTGAAAAATGATAGTCGTATAGATAACCAAGCTGTCCACCTTAGTCCACATTGCTTTTGACCAATGAACTGATTTTTCTAAGAGCAGATGCTTCCTGGGGGCTGGCCTAGGAAATCAACTCATTTCTCCCTCACCTGTTTTTTTCTGCCTCTGTGGCTGTGCCTTTTTCTTCCTTGTATTTCTCTTTCATTTTTCCCAGATGATCCTGGATCCTCCCCAAATTTGTATTTATACTTGTTCAGTTTCTGCCATTTGGTCAGGGTAGATGAACTGCTCTAGCAAAATCTCCCAGAATGCAATGTTATAACACAAAATTTTACTCTCTCTTATACAACATTCAATATAGATATTCATTCTTGATTAGGCAACTCTCCCCTGAGTATTGACTTACGAATTCTGGCTCCTACCATCTTCCTGTGTAGCCACGTTCAACAGATGATCACAGGCTTGCTGCCGAAGGTAAAGATGCTATGGAGAAAGTATATACAGCTTGAAGGGGACACACATTACCTCCATTGTCTGGGACTGACGCATCTAGATGTTTAGGGCTGTGTGACTGGTTTTGGTGAATAGAATGTTGCCATGTGATTGGCACTGGGGAATGTAGTGTGTGGCTGAGAGGCTGCTTGCAGCAGCAATTGCATGCTCTGAAAGGAAGCATCAATCAGTGGTGACAATCAGTGGTGATCAACCAGATACTTCTGCCACGTATATATTGAGTAACTCTACCAATCTGATCGTTCTATTGACTGTAGGCCCCTGAGGTGTTTCTTAAAGGTGGGAAACACGTTTTTTTGTTTTTTGTTTTTTTAAATAATAGCAATCTTATATCATTTAAACACTAGAGTAATTACAATAGTGTCTCTAGTGAAAGGAAATTATTTAGAGATCTTCTCAAGAATGGAGTGTAAGCCATTGTAGTATAAACTTCCTTAGTGCAACCACTAAGACATCAAAGAGTCACTTGCATCGAGATAACTTCTTTTGGTAAGATTCAAATTCTCATAATTAAGATTTGGAAAATTGCTTTCGCGTAGACTTGAACTGTGTACTACTTGGTGAGTGTGTATGTTCAATGAGCTGCTTTGCGTAGTGCCATAATAGACTTTTTTTGAAAGGTAATATCTTAATGGGGTACCATAAAGATGCCAGTTAGAAGGCACCCTTTTTCAGGTTAAAAGGCAAAGGAAATTGAAAACTGGCCCTACATGTTCTTCGCTACTTATTATCTTGGAGA